ATATATATAAACATTTTAGTATTTCTAAAGGTTCAAAGTGGTATCTCATTATAGTTTTCATTTGCATTTTGCTGCTTACTAATTATGTTGAACATGCTTTCAATGCTTATTTTCCATCTGTATATCTCGGGGGAAGTGCTGTTCAAATATTTTGCCCATTTTCTTGTTGGGTTGTTTGACTAATTATTGAGTTGTTAGAGCTCTTTTTATTTTGGATATAAGTCCTTTAGCAGGTATGCATTTGCAAGTATTATCTCCCAGTCTATGGCCTGTCTTTTCATCTTGCTAACAGTGTTGAAAGACAGAAATTAATAATTTTGATGAAGTTCAATTTAGAATTTTTTTCTTTATTATTTGTGCTTTTTGTTTCTTTCCAAGAAGTTGTACCTAACTCAGGGTTGCAAAGATTATCTTCTCTGCACTCTTTCTGCAGTTTTATAGATGCAGGTTTACATTTACATCAGGCATCTATTTCAAGTTGATTTTTGCATAATGTACATAAATAAGGTCTCATTAAGAATGAACAACAGAAAATAATGAAAAAAAAACAGATCCAGAGACAGAGAAGCATCGATCAGACTGTCAAACCTCAGAGGGAAGGTAGAGGAGGATGGGGGTAAGGGGGAGAGATCAACCAAAGGACTTGTATGCATGCATATAAACCTAACCAATGGACACAGACACCAGGGGGGTGAGGGCATGAATGTGTGGGGGGTTGGGGGGCAATGGGGGGATAAGGACACATATGTAATACCTTAATCAATAAAGAAAAATAAAATAAAACAAAATAAATTTAAAAAAGGAAAGACTTTTAACACCCTTATGAAACTACTTAACTCTCAACATAGGCTCATAAGATCTGCTTTACTGAAGGTAGAAAATTTCATTAGTGAAATGATATTCAATATGCTGAGTATATAAATATCAAAGTTATAAATTATACATTTTATATTAATTTTATACATTGTTTCATAGAAAATAATATTAAGTGTAAACACCACAAATCCAATTTAGACATGTTGTAATTTATATCACATAATTTAGGTACAAAACCTAAATTAAAATACATCGAGGCAGTGTTCATTCAAGAAAAATTAATATATGCATTTGAATTGTTTTATGATATCTTAGAATTCAGTAAATTAAAAATAAAAACTTACCTTTTTTCTGCATATCCTGGTAAAGTTTCCTTAATTCTGTCTTATGTCCTTCCTCTTTGATTTTCATTTCACTTATAAGTTTGGCAATGCTATTCTTATATTCCTAAAGATTAAAATATATTCATTCTTCAATTTAAATATGTGCATGCTACTTTTGATTAATTAGAAAGGTGAAATTGTCAAATTTTATATTAATTTTTGATATGTAATCATATCTAGAAGGGAAAGATATTGTTCAGTTTCAATCAGCTTTTAAGAAGGACCAATTTCTGGTCCGAGGAGATAGAGATCATCTAGAGACAATGTCTTTTTACTTTTGCTTTCTGAGTACTCATCACTAGTGTTGCGCATTTCATAGATGCTTAAAACATTTTGTTTCATTTTATGAACAAACACCATGACAGCTCTAAAATAGGTCCAATAAAAGCCAAAGTTATACTTCAGAGCCAATGGTAGGTAATATTCAATAGACAACCAGCTTTCCCAAAGTAGGATGAATCCTTATGAATGTGGGATGAACTTCTGTATCTAAAAATTATACAAACATCCCTAATTCCCAGAAGGAGAGTAAGCATTACCCATCGTAAAGATTAGCGTTATAAAGGAGGCTAGAATAGGATGGATTTGGGATTTGAGCCGTGCTCAGCAGGTGCCTGAGATTTGCTTCCTAGGTTGTGGGAGCATATTATGCTAATGTGGAGAGGGGCATTAAGTAGGCCACGAAAGAGAAAGTCCCCAAAGATAAAATTCACAATTTTCCCAGTGGTATGTCCCCACATAAAGAAATCACTCACAGGCCCAAGATGTAGGCAGAGGAAAGGACAGTGGGAAGAACAGTGAAGAAGGTAGTAAGAAAGAGACAGCAATGAAGGCAAGCGGTCAAGAAAAGCCTCTGAACGCTATGAGACAGGGGCTTCAGTGAAGAAGGTAGTAAGAAAGAGACAGCAATGAAGGCTTTGCTTTGAATCACTGTTGTATGTCTGCCTCCTAGTGTCTCTCTCCTGATATGTATTTGTTGAATGAATGAGAGTGCCAATAAAAATTAAGTCAGAACGAATCTCAGAGGGGAGGCGGGGGTGGAAGTGGGAGTGGGAAATGATTAACCAAAGAACATATGTGCATAACTCATAAATACAGACAATAGTGTGGTGAAGGCCTGGAAGGAGCAGGTACAGGGTGGAGGAAATCAATGGGAAAAATGGGGGGACATCTGCAATACTTTCAACAATAAAGATAAATTTAAAAAATTAAGTGAGTAATTCTTAGCTTAGACCCAGTAAATGGGCTTTTGAGGATCCATTAACTTCCTGAAATTGTATGTAAAATTATACATATACTAGAGGCCCAGTGCATGAAATTCATGCACTTGGGGAGGGTTCCCCTCAGCCCAGCCTGTGCCCTCTCACAGTCCGGGAGCCCTTGGGAGATGTCCAACTGATGGCTAAGGCCCGCTCCCCACAGGCCTAAGCCATCAGTAGGGCATCCTTAGTGCTGCCGTGGAGGCAGGAGAGGCTCCCGCCACCACCACTGTGCTCACCAGCTATGAACCTGGCTTCTAGCTGAGTGGTGCTCCCCCTGTGGGAGCGCAATGACCACCAGGGGGCAGCTCCTGCATTGATAATCTTCCCCCTGGTGGTCAGTGCGCATCATAGTCATCAGTCATTCCACTGTTCAGTCGATTTGCATATTAGCCTTTTATTATATAGGATTAGAGGCCCGATGCATGAAATTTGTGCAAGAGTAGGCCTTCCTTCCCCAGGCTTCTGACACTGGCTGCCCTCTGGCACCCGGGACCCGGGCTTTCCTCCGGCTGCCGGCAGGCACCTGGGACCCGGGCTTCTCTCGCAGCCCCAGCTTCGTCCGGAAGGCCGTCGGAAGGATGTCCAGTCTAATTGGCATATCTCCCGCCACCACCACTGTGCTCACCAGCTATGAACCTGGCTTCTAGCTGAGTGGTGCTCCCCCTGTGGGAGCGCAATGACCACCAGGGGGCAGCTCCTGCATTGATAATCTTCCCCCTGGTGGTCAGTGCGCATCATAGTCATCAGTCATTCCACTGTTCAGTCGATTTGCATATTAGCCTTTTATTATATAGGATTAGAGGCCCGATGCATGAAATTTGTGCAAGAGTAGGCCTTCCTTCCCCAGGCTTCTGACACTGGCTGCCCTCTGGCACCCGGGACCCGGGCTTTCCTCCGGCTGCCGGCAGGCACCTGGGACCCGGGCTTCTCTCGCAGCCCCAGCTTCGTCCGGAAGGCCGTCGGAAGGATGTCCAGTCTAATTGGCATATCATGCTTTTATTATTATAGATATGTGTGCACATGTACTGATGAACTTTCTCCTCAGAGAGGGTTCACAGCTTTTAATAGATATTCAGTGATATTGAAGAGGTAAAAAAGTCCAGCTCTCCTGGCTTAGATGGCTATGATTAAACATAGAGGCACATCTGTCCAGGTTACATAAGTTCAAGGGGATATAGTCCAGATTCAAATTGTGATACTTACCCTGCCAGGCAATTTTCAGGAATGGCCAAACCTACCCAAAAACTGACTTTGATTAAAGCTGGACAGGTGAATTTGGGTGAATCTCATGAACTGCCATTCTTCATATGCACGTATCTAGGTTCCAAGGTGGGCAACTACTGAGTGGTTTTCATAAACTACTCCTGACTCAACTGGGTGCACTAAGCAGTCACTGCTCTGAGAAACAAGAGACAAACCTATCTATCTTTTCATTCCCCACTGACTTTGCCATCTGAAGATGCCATCACTAAAGTGGAATACTTCTGTTAATTGGTAAGACCCAGGGTTTTCACTCCCATCCCTAGGCACGGAGACTATGTTTGGGCTGGGCTCTATCACACTGGATTCTTCTCCCCCACTTCAGCCTGGGCCAGTCCTTCCTCTTTCTATGGGGACCAAGTCCCAACAAGTTATTCTTGGTTGCCTTCTGGGAACCTTAAATGCCAAGGGATAGCCTCTGGTTGTATTTTTGTTTTTATAAAACTTAAGGATTCTCTGTCTACAAGTTACAAAACCTCTCCCAATCCCAAAACATGCGTATTAAGTACCTCCTGAGTTTGTTTCTGGGTAGTGGTTTTTCATGTTTTGGATGTGCCTGGAGGTTTTGTACTAGAGAATTCTCATTGGATTGAGGTCATCTTCGGTTTGCTTTGGACAGTAGCTAATTTAGAAGTGCAGAATCTTGGGCTGTGGTGTTTTCTCATCAATTTCCACCCTCTGAAAATCCCTATGGTACTCTAGAAAAAGCAGTATTCTGTGGCTTGACACCTGAGATGAGAAAAGAGGCAAACATTTCTCCCCCTTCTCTCTACCCCAATTACACTCTGACTTCACTATCTATTGTTGAGCTCTAAAGATGAGCTATGGAAAGGATGGGAAAGAATAAGGAAAAAGGATAAAGGAAAGGGGGAAGTAATCCATGGGATATATTCCAGAGATGTTTAAATTGTCTCAGAATTAGTGATGGGAGACGACATTTTCCAAGAGCGCAGCCAGATGCCAGTTATTTCATCTGAGTGATACCCAGGAGCCCGGCAGGGCTTTAGAATTAGACTGTGTTTCTTCAGAGGCTCCTCGAATGAGGAACCAGATTGAATTTAGAGATGGTCCTTCCAACTGAAGTTCTAAGTTTCATACAGATCCAACTAGAATTTTGGAAATCTTAGGCCAGAGTTTGACATATTGGCTCTCGGGAGAGGAGACTAATTAGTGTGATCAACTTCCCAAAGGGCAGAGGGGTGGGAACTGACGTTTACCGAGCACCTTTATGTTCTAGTCACTGTGTTGTGTGTATGTTCTATAGTTGCTAACACTATGCTGTTCTTATGGGAAAAAAGAAAAGGTAACAGAGGGTATGGTGGCCCTGGGAGAGAATTAATTGGCGGTTAAGTACTCCCTTCATTTAAATGGTGCAATAAAACTGTTATATATTACTCAAGTCATAAAGATTAAACACTCATTTACTTTGTAGTAAAAAAGTTTAAAAGTGCTAATAAAGTATGTATACTCTAGAGTAAAAACTCTATTAACATAATTTAAAAATATGTAACAAAATAGCTGCATTTTTTTGGTAGAATGAAAAAGCACAAGTGACATATTAGTACATTACAGTCTGCAAGAAGACTAGAGTCCTCAGAATTTCTATTTCTTTAAAAATTTTCATTTGTTACAAATTCTGGCGCACACACTCACACACATATATATTTACTCTATATTTTGGCTGTCTTTATTAATGAAAACAACCACATTTTTTTTCTAATTTAGAAGACAAATGCTCTACAGGGACTTGATTGATACAAAGATACATACACTCACCTGTTCATGAGATTTTAACTTTTCTTTCATAAGATCAGCATTTCTTTTCAGTTGTTCATTTTTACCTGCGTAAAAACCATCAAAGAGCATCCTAATATACAGCGCCTTTCAATTACATGGGAACATATGTAACCTTTCAAGTTTCCGTTCATGTATGTACTACTCAACCCTTGAAAACAGCATCTATTACACACCTATTGCATATGCACAGAGTACGTGAAACTGGAATGGTGAGACAAAAATATAATCATTCTTCAAATCGTGCAGCCTGTGGTGAGAGATGTGTAAGTAGTGATGTGCCATGGCCGCCCTGCAGCAAATCGTGCAGCCTGTGGTGAGAGATGTGTAAGTAGTTGTGATGTGCCATGGCCGCCCTGCAATGGCAGTGTGTCTGAAGTACGTGGGACCTGTGGGACAAAAGCCCAGGCCAGAATGAGGTCAGGCGAGAGTATACTGAGGAGGAAGCATCTGAGCTGAGACTTAAATGCTAAGGCTCACCCCAGGTGGGAGGGGGCGTTTCAGAAGACTGTGGGCTGGGGTGAGCGCAGCACGCGTGGGAAAGTGACAATTGAAGTACAGCACTGTTGGAGTAAACTCTGAGGAAGGTGTGTTAAGTAGGTTGGGGCCATAGCCTAGTAGGAGGTCTGACTTTAAATTTTCTTTTATGGGGTCATCAATGAATTTTACAGAGGCGTTGAAGAAATTTGAATAGTGAAGTGAAATGATTACAGTTAAGAAGATTATTTGGCAGTGCAGAGGATGATGGGAGGGTTTTGACCCCAGAGGCATGGATGTCAGAAAAGGCAGATCAAGTAAGAAATAATAGGACCCTAAGTTAGGTCAGTGGCAGTAGGAGACAAAGGAAAAAATAAAGATAAGGATTTAGATGAGAGTCACCAGGAGCCTTAGTGGCTGATTGCAAAAGAGAAAGGGCGGGGAGGGGGGGGCATGGAGAAAAAAAAAAAGAGTAGGGGGAATCTCCACCTTTTCCGTTTCTGGTTTGGGTAAGTGAAAAATATGCAACAGTTTGGGAAACATTAAAAGGGGAAGATTTCTAGGAGTGAGATAATGAACCTACAGCTTTACTATGCTGCATTTGAGAATGTTCCTGAGAAACATTTGGGTGTGGCCAAAGGAAGACTATCCTATAAGGCATTGTTTCTCAACCTGTGGGTCGCGACCCCTTTGGGGGTCGAACGACTCACAGGGGTCGCCTAAGACCATCGGAAAACACATATATAATTACATATTGTTTTTGTGATTAATCACTATGCTTTAATTATGTTCAATTTGTAACAATGAAATTGGGGGTCACCACAACATGAGGAACTGTATTAAAGGGTCGCAGCATTAGGAAGGTTGAGAACCACTGCTATAAGGAGACTGGGACGTGTCCAGAGACCAGGAGAGAGTGGTACTAAGAAAAGTGGTTAAAGGGAAGCTAAGCATCTCTCCCCTCCCACTCACCTCACTGAAGGTATCAATGCTTACAGCCTGTGTATTCCTTCCCTACTGTTCCCCAGCTTATACAACTATATGTAAACACATCACACATTTCTACTGGTTTCATTTGTTTTTACCAATATAAAAGTGTACTCTACATTATTACTTTGCAAAGAACTTATTTCTTAAAAATAGACATTCTTTCAAGTCTGTAGTTTTTCCATGCACGCATTTTTATAATTTTACATAAGTAGGATCATAGCATACATGTTGGGAGACTCTTAGCACAGTCTTGCCTCTCTCTTGTTTTCTTTCTACCTTCTTCCTCTTCCTCTTTGTTTCTCTCTCCACCTCCACACCCCTGGTATAATTGTGTATCCTTCTGTGTTTTTCTCCATGCTCTTGATCTCTGGATCATACCTATGCATATATACATACACATTCTCATAGTTTCAGTCATATCTTTTGCCCATTATACTTTTTTCATTTATCTTTGCTAGTCAATTTGTAGAGCTTTGTATATTGTACATATTAAATTACGTTAGTATTTGAAATCATGTTTTGAAATAAATTATTTATTTTTTGACTTCTGTGTGACAAAATGACATGCCAAGTCCTTTCTTGTTGCTATTGTTGGTGCTCTTGTTGCATAAGAAAGTCTATTAGTCCTGCCTGGCTGGCATGGCTCAGTGGTTGAGCGTTGACCTATGAACCAGGGGGTCACAGTTTGATTTCCGGTCAGGGCACATGCCGGGTTGCAGGCTCGATCCCCAGTGTGGGGTGTGCAGGGGGCAGCCGATCAATGATTCTCTTTCATCATTGATGTTTCTATCTCTCCCTCTCTTTCTGAAATCAATAAAAATATATTTTTTAAAAAGTCTATTCATTCTGTTTTTATAAGTCTGTTAGTTCTGTTTTTACCTTATATAGCATCTGAGGTTCCCAGAGTGGTTTTACCATATTATGAAGAGTAGCACATGGTGTTAGGTTGTACATGTAGCCTAGATTTCCCTTTAAGTTTGTATTCTCTTTTACACTAAAGTCTTTTGTTCATCTAGAATTTATTTTTGATGTGGTGGGAGAGTCCAACTTTCTTTTCCTCCAGATGGAAAGCTGGTTGTGTCAGTACTGTATGTTGAAATGCCATTCTTTTTTCCAATACATTGAAATATTACAGTAACAAATATTGGGGCCTTTTCTAGAATCTGGTTCTCTATTCTTTCCATGAATATATTTTTCAATTTCTATGTCAAATGCCATATCAATTTCATTCTAACAAATTCGGAGCATATTATTATCTGGTAATGGAAATTCTCCTTCCTCTTAGTTTTCTTGTTTATTCTTGTGTGTTTGTTTGTTTTTTGTCAAATGAATTTTAAGATTATTGTATACAATCTTCTCTCCCACCCAAAATTTAGTATTTTTAAAAAATATATATTTTATTGATTTTTACAGAGAGGAAGGGAGAGGGATAGAGAGTTAGAAACATCGATGAGAGAGAAACATCGATCAGCTGCCTCCTGCACACCTCCTACTGGGGATGTGCCCGCAACCAAGGTACATGCCCTTGACTGGAATCAAACCTGTGACCCTTCAGTCCGCAGGCCGATGCTCTATCCACTGAGCCAAACCAGTCAGGGCCAAAATTTAGTATTTTAATTAAGATTGCGTTAAATGTGTTTATTAACTTCAGGAAAATGGACATTTTAATAATGTTAAGTCTTCCCTCTGCCAGGAAAATTGGTCAACCCATCTAAATGTTGTAGCCCTTGCACATTATCTGGCTTTGGCATATCTGTATGTAGGCTGAATAGCACCACATGCTTAGCTGTGAACTAAAGCCATCTGCTGTAGAAACAGGACCTCCTTAATGCTTTATATTATATTACTAGAGGCCCGATGCACGAAATTCGTGCAAGAGTAGGCCTTCTTTCCCCCGGCTGCCCGGCTTCCCTCTGGCACCCGGGACCCCGGCTTCCCTCTGGCACCTTTGGAGCTGTTGCTTCAGGAGCTCAGAGCCCCGCAGCTGCATGCGGGAACCTTGGTTTCCTCTATCGCTGGGGCAACCAAGCATCCTATTCTCAGCTGCCTGGCTGTCTGCCGCCATCTTGGCTGACAGTTAATTTGCATATACTCACTGATTAGCCAATGAAAAGGGTATCAGTCGTACGCTAATTACCATGTTTCTCTTTTATTAGTGTAGATATTTCGGCTGGCTCTATGTTGGCTTTCATCTGTAGTGCAGTCGACATGTGATTATTGTTAGCAATGCTTTTTCCCATCATCCTACCAGACTCAACACTAGGTTTTCAAACACATATGGCTACTCCCTTAAGGTGTAAGGTTGTTGCTGCTCTGGCTAGAGTAATTATAAATTCAAATAGCATTTTGTGTCACTGTAGGATCCACCTGATTCTGATATTTGACAAGTAATCTTCCTCTGACCTAGCCAAAATCCACTTTAATCTCTTGGATTCTAATAATTTTGCAATATACTTTTCTAAAATTGGTTATTCTCCTTTGGTATCAAACCAAGAGTAAAGCCTTAAGTGTGCATTGTTTTTGGATTCATTATATACTCATAGTGAGTTGGTTTTCTTTAGTATCTTGGATGAGGAATTGAGCAGGAAATGATCACTGCAGTTTTTTTAAAAAAATTTTAAACATATTTTTTATTGATTTTAGAGAAGAAGGGAGAGGCAGAGAGAGATAGAAACATCAATGATGAGAGAGAATCATTGGTTGGCTGCCTCCTACTTGCGTCCCACTGGGGATCGAGCCCACAACCTGCTCATGTGCCCTTGACCGGAATCAAACCTGGGACCCTTCAGTCCGCAGGCTGTTGCTCTATCCACTGAGCCAAACCAGCTAGGGTGATCACTGCAGTTTTTGAGTAGAATATTCACTGTGTAACTACCAGTGAACATCTACCCTTCAAAACTGAACATGGGTACTGAAAGCAAGAGTACTACTGGGAGCAAATATACTTTGAAACATTTGAAAGTAATAAAGAGAATGATTATGATAGTTTATAAAACCCTGATGTTCCTGTCAGAATAGGACTGAACTGTTCTGTTCAGCATGGCATTCATTTCTTAATAATTGAGGATGTATTACTCAGTAGTAAGGTGCCCTTCCTTCCTTTTGCTGATAAATTTAACAAGACCAAATTAGAAGGAACTTATTGTCAACAATTTAAAAATTCTCATCTTTAAAGGTGCTTAAATACATCATATTTTTTAAGATTTATTTTTTGTCTAACTTACCTTTCAAATTATGCTGATATTCAATGGTCTGTTGTAGCCCTTTTACCATATTATGAAGAGTAGCACATTCTAAAACATAAGAGATAAATGTATTTGAAGATTATTTGCTTTCATTTTGAAATCATTCTCTCAAAGTTGAAATACATAAAATAAAATACTGTTTGTGACAATGAGCAGATCTTAACAAAGCTATCAGGCATCTCAAAGTAAATTATGTAACAACCACCCTTAAAGTCAAATGCAATTCAGGATTTAGTAAAGAGGTCTCTAAGGCACAATAAATGCAGTAGGACAGGGAGCCGCTCATATACCTCAGCAAGACCTGCCCTAGAAGTGAGGCACATGTGGACTGCCTGGGGGACTTTGAGGAGCGCATCCATGCGAGTTTCCCATGAAAGAACATCCCGGGGACAGACAGCTGAGGTACATCAAGTTTTGTTCAAAGATAGACAGTCAGAGCTGGTGAGGTGGCATTTGGGAGGAGATACTGCTTTACTTCCTCCCTGTCCTCAGACCTGTCCTCTTACTATTTTTATGCCTGAGTTCCAGGGCAAGGCAGTAGCAACTAAAGGAGTAAACACCCAACATGGTGAGTGACAGGGCACCAGCACTTTGGTGCCAGTGACTTCTCCACCGTGGGAAACAAAGCCTTGCAAGCATTAGTGCCCTGATGTGTGCATGAAGCTTTCAGTGCACTCTTGGGTACCACCAGCAACAGCTAAGCCTTTGATGGGTATCATTCCCACCATCTACTCAGACAAAGTTCCCACCATCCTCCATTTCTTCCCTCTCTTGCTATTTCCCAGTAAGGACGATGGTCAAATTACATGTGACAATACCTGCTTCGTGTATGTTACCATGTTAGCTGCTACAATTAAAAAATTAAGGGGGCATAGGCTCCGCTATCACTTGTCTTTGTGTCTTTTAGAAGCATGAGCCCAGTAATTCATGCAATATGGGACCTCAGTACTCAGCAAATTGAAAACCGAGTCCTGAAACTGGAAGTATACTGCATGTTTTTAAAATGTGCATTTCACGATTTGAACACAAGGCGGCTCTCCCAACACATTTTTTTTAACAAAGGAAACTGGCTCAATAAGGAATTGTTCCTTAGAACACCATTCATTATTTTAGAATAATAGCTTTCAATTCTCTTTGCAAACATTTATCCAATTATCATTTCTAATAGATTTTATAATATAGTTTGAACAATACTATTGTCATATTCAACTCTTAAAAACTATAGTTCAGAATACTAAACTACTTCTTATCCTATATAATTTAATCAATTGTTGAGCTCAAATTTAGGCTCTACCATTAACTAGTAATTTGCATATTAACACCTATTTCATAAAGCAGTTGGAAATGTTAAATACAATTATGCATGACAATAATTTTTATAGCACTTAGTCCTCAATACTAATATTATTTATCATCTTAAAATGGAAAAGAAATTTTTTATCTGGTGTTAAATGTGGAAAATAAAATATCAAGATCTCATTCTTTATTGTTGAAAAAATTCAGTTGTATATAGAGTTTGTTCTTCTCTCAGTGAATTAGCACACACTTGACTTTATGAGTTGTCAATTTTACTAGTTCGTTTACTTCTGCTGCGTATTATCTAGTCAAAAGGCCATTAGAATTAAAATGAGAACTGGATGTTTAGAAAGTGTTTAATTATATTTTCAAATATAAAATACACATGAAATGCAAAAATAGTGAAAAATGACTATCTCTGCAATCCTGCCCCCAAACTAACCAGTGTCCCTCCCTGAAAGCAAGCCCCGCAGAGAAACGCCACCTCCTCAGGGCCCAGCCCTAGCGCAGGGAACCCAGGCTCCTGTCAGGCACAGCGAGGGTGGGTGCAGCTGAGAGGGTGGCCATGGGGAGCTGAGCAACACGTGGCGTAGGTGTCTGAGAACACAGGGGAGAGCGTCAGACTGGGACCGCCCGTTTTAACACTAAACTTTTTACCCACCTGATATTTATTTTGGAGTTATTGTGAGGCAGGAATTCAACTGTATTTTCCCCCATGATTTTGAAAGCCTGGATTGATTCTTGGATTTGTCATTTCTTAATGGACATTTCTTAATTTATCATTTGTCATTTGTCATTTGTCATTTGACATTTGTCATTTCTTAATTTATCTGAGTGGACTCAGATAAATTATTTAACTTCTTCTATCTTATTTTTCTTCATTACTGACGCAGAGTAATAAAATCAGTCCTACCTGTCCTTTAGGGCTATATTAAGGATAAAATGACAGTCTAGAAAGTGCTATGTGAATTTTAAATATTTTACAAATGCATGGTGCAATATTAATCACTGTTGTACCCAAAAGCCCTCTCATGATATTAGTATTTTTCCAGGCAGCCAAGAACTAACCTTCTTTAAGTGAGGCCTCATTTGTTTGCATTCCTTTTAATAAACAGTTAGCTTTTTCCAACTGCATATTCAGTACGTTGTTCCTTCCCGAAGTTTCTACCAATTTCTGTAGAGAAAACAATATATATCATAACCAAATCAATGCTGTTAATTTGATTTTCTTACCTAAGCATATAAAGACTAATGAAAATACAGACTACTTAATATCTGACATAACTTGAACTCCCTTCTTTCTAACCATTCAACCCTCAGTCCCATGGTTAACAATTCTTTATGTGTGTTTCCCAAATATTTTATGATTATACTAGAGGACCAGTGCACAAAAAGTTGTGCACTCAGGGGGTCCCTCAGCCCAGCATGTGCCCTCTTGCAGTCTGGGACTCCTCGGGGGATGACCACCTGCTGGTTTAGACCTGCTCCCCGGGGGATCGGGCCTAAGCTGGCAGTCAGACATCCCTCTGGCAGCCCAGGAGCCCTCGGGGGATGTCCACTTGCCAGTGGGGA